ATAAAATACAAAAGCTTCCCTAATAAGCTATTCTAACAATTAAAACAGGAAGCAGTGTCAAGGTAAAGTTGTCCAGTGCTCAAGCAAGCCAAAGAATGAAGTTTCCTCAAAATGCATATATCATATCAAGGTGATTCAACATTAGAAATGGGATTTGGGGTCAAAAATGGAACTGATAGTTTGACACCATTTTGACTTTCCCATATTTAGGTTGAATTAACCAAATTTTCTTTTACATCCATGATCCACCAAAGGATAATTAACCATTTGAATCATCCATTTATCATTTATCAATAAAACCAACCACTTGTTATTTAAATGAGGGCACTCATTTGTATCTTAGAACTGACTATTATATTGATAGAAATTCTACCGGAAAAATCCAACAGGCAGTACCATTGATAGTTTGATACCATACTTATGAAAGCTTGAAATATTAAATTACTTTAAAGGTGTCTACTTTTCCTCATAAAAAAAAAGGATGCATGAGTTTTATATATTTTTGGCATTAATTAGCATATAAAAGCCACATATCCTAAATTTTCAATGGATTTGTAGAAGCGCTGGTTGTGCCTCTGATAGTTTGACTTCCATTAACATCCTCTACAGTCAAAATGGTAGTTATCCAAAAAACAATTCAACGTAAAAGTCGAGACAACCTTGAGAACAATGAGACGAAACATATAGAAAATACAATACATGTGAAGCTAAGCATGAGCATTTATGTTTACAGAGATACAGAACAGGATACAACACAGGACATGACTATTGTGAAACAAGATGGTTAAATCCTAATTTTCTTCCCAAGCGTTTTCTGAGTTTACATAAATGATCCTCAAATGACATTTCTTGCTCAATGAAATAAATATTGCAAATTATAATTTCGAATCAGGCAAAAGAAAAGAAATACATACCTCAGTACCTGTGGGTATATGCTGCATAGCACGTACCAAAGCTGACCTTCCCTCAAAAACCAACACAGAATTTGGCAAACAGCTATATGGTACAACCAAGATTAGAACACTACCAAGAAAGATGCATAAAAAAAAAAAAAAAAAAAAAACCAAGAAATAGTATAATATATATACATATATTGGGGTGGGAGTGGGGAGTAGACCTAGTGGTCACCTGTGATTGATAATAGAAATAACAGGATACAATCCTGTTCCCACAGGTCTCAACTCACTGTCACAAATGGTATGCACATTACAGGCAAACTGCAGGATTAGAAGGATCTGATCTTAGATTGGCTTCATTATAGAGTCAAATCCACATAAATAAACATTACCCTATCTAAGACAAATATGTCTAAATCCACATGAACATAACCTTTTTGTCAATGAAGAGTGCTGTGTGTGATTTACATGAGAACAATTTATAACAGTTGGATCAAATGATTTAAGGGAGCATAAGACCTTAGAAAAATTCTCTGCAATCTCTTTTATATTGATTTCTGGCCATTGTAGTATGGAGTTTACAAGATTAGCCATTTGTGCATAAAGCACCAGCTGCTCCTCTGTGATGTCAGACATATCTTCACGGAAATGAATGTTAAAAAGAACAATCATCATGGAAAAGAAAATGGAAAAAAAAATCAAAGTTCATTTCATTAAACTTTTGGTAAAAATAATTATAAAAAGGATACGAGACACTAAAGCCTCCACCAAGTGATAGTTGTCCATAACAGTGCTTAGGATGATCTGGAAAAACGAATAATAAATATCTCTCTTATAGCTGCTCAATGTTCAGATCAGTGGTTGAAAAAATCTTTCTGAATACACAGAAGAAACTTTTCCAAGCCAGTAAGCCACAACAATGAATGCAACTGAATATAGAAATTAAGAAAAAAAGCAAGGCAAATATCCAACAGACTGGTTAGCAAAAACTACTGACATTCTACCAATATTTGGTATAAAGCACAACAGTTCATAAATTAAGCTGTTTGGAATGTAATGGTGTAACCTCCAGTCCTATTTGAACCATAACTTCCTCCATGTTAACCTTCTGGATAACTGTGATTGCTAAATCAATAATATAGTCAATAACTAACAATGCACAAGGTCAGTAACCAACAAAGATTGTTTTACCCAACTTTGACATGAATAAAGAAAATTGAATGATCCTTCAGAAAGATAAAAAAGAAATAGGATTTGCAAAACTGATCTTTCATTTGACTGAAAATGATAAGCCTTATCCCACTAAATGAGGTTGCCTTTACGGACCACACAATGTCATTTGGCTCAGTTAGAAATTGGCACTGTAGTAACACTGCAATAATATATTGTTGCCATATACCTTTTCATTTTGCAACTTCCTCCGAAGATAAAGTCTCACCATCAACCGTATGGATGGTGTGACAGACTTTCTCTTGTCTTTGTCAAGCCTGGAGAGGGCCTCACACTCAAGACGATGCAGCTTCCACTCTGACCTCTGAACAACATCAAAACACAAATAAATAAGAATACAACAACAGTTACACTTAGGCCAAATAAATATACTAACCCCATTATCTATTTTTTCACTGAATGCCCATATCACTTCGTAATCAATAAACAAACAAATGCACAAGAGAGAAAAAGAGAAGCAGCGATATAGAAGACAAGACCTGACATGCGGTTCCACAATAGCGTGCAACTTGGCAACGAGAGCACCTGCTAAGGGCATTAGTTGTCGCGTAACACCCATCACACCTTTTCTGCGCGGATACCGAGGAGTTGTTTGGAACAGAAACGTAAGGCTCTTGGCTTATAATCACTTCCCCTGCACCAGCGAAGTTCGTGTTTCATGCAACTCACAAACGAGCAATGAAGCAAGAAAAATAGTTGAACTAGAGAGAGAAGAGATACCTGGATAGAAATCCCTAGTAGCCACGAGAGAACGACCCTTTTCTGGA